AATAAAATATTTGTAACATAAATCTCTTTTATAAGTAACCACTTTAAATGATAATTTACATTCCATACAATGTATCCTTTCAAATAAAATAAAATAAAATATTTGTAACATAAATCTCTTTTATAAGTAACCACTTTAAATGATAATTTACATTCCATACAATGTATCCTTTCAAAGTAAACAGGCCATTAGTCCTTTTCCTACAATCATGACTACTAATTTCCTAACATTTCCACCACCCCAAAAAACACTCTCATTCTCCACTTACTCAGGTCTTCTTTCACTTTTTTAAACAATGTTTTGTACTTTTCAGCACAGGAGTCACACTTCCCAGGTTATATTTAATTCTTTTAACAAGGAAAAAGTTTCTGTAACCTCAGAGAAACATTTAAGAACAGTGGCAACTATATGGGTGACTAAATTTCAATATTAAGGGTATGGATGATAATAATTCATGGAACAAGGTAAAGGATTCACATTTTTTAAAGACACTAAGATCTGCAGTCTGAATTTTTTATTATAGTTTTTAAAACAATATTATGATGTGTTAAGGAAAAAGCTTGATTTATGATTTTAAAGCACTCCTATGTAAAATTTATCAAGAATAGAAATTAGAATGTCACCTTGAGGGTGACATTTCAAAACCTGTGGGCCACGACTTCACTTGCACTCTTTGTTATTTCCAGCAAGTCTTTCAAAGACTGAAATTTAAAAACAGGTGCTATCTATTCACTACAAGTAAGGAAGCACAAATAAATCCTTTCCCATCGTCCAATTAACAAAGTGTACATTCCTCAAACTAGAAAGTCTCTTCTTCGGAAGCAGTTAGGCTCCAGTCACAATGTTCTACTTTCATTAAGACAAAGGCAATAAAAAGGCCCTAATTAATATGAAGTTTTCTTCAATATGTAAAAATACTTCTGGATCAAAGCTAGGCATGGTGGCGCACACCTATAATCCCAGCACTCCAGAGGCTGAGGCAGGAGGATCACCTCGAGTTTCAGCACAGCCTGGGCTACATAGTAAGTTCAATGCCAGAGTGAACTGCATAGCGACACCCTGTCTCAAACCCCCCCCCCAAAATTATAGGAAGCACTTATACTCTTATTCTAATATTGAAGTCTTACGTTTTTTTCAATGAACTATCTGTGAACCTGTTAAAATCTACCCAAAACCTACACTGCTTTTATCAAGGCAGACAGATCTATTTACACTGATCAAGCAAAGAAATTGACACTAACCAAAAAGTACATCTGGAAAAGCATTAGAAATCTAAAACCTGTTAGGGGCGGCAGTAACTTGGAAAACAATCATAGAAAGAACAGTTTTAAAACCTCAGAAAAGAACAGTAGGCCTTGAAATAAAGTAAAATCCAAGTAAAAGATTTGTTCCTCAATCAAATGGCAATTTATTCATCTACTGCTTTGTAACATTGGAGTGTCACAGTTGTGAAAGAGCCTCACACAGTGTGTCAGCACAGTGTCTGTGGACTGAACCGTCAGGGAGTAACGTGTAACTTGTCTGTACAGTCTATCTGTGGATGATGGTCACCACCAGTTCCTTTTCACAGCTGCACAGCACATTAACTGTAGTTCCAACACACTGGTAGGCTGGGGCGAGCGGATTCCAAGGTCAGGCCCAGACGAGGCAATTTAGAGGGACTGCGTCTCAAAATAAAAAATAAAAAGCTGGAGTGGAGCTCACTGTGAAAGCCCATATCTGGTCCCTGAGTAAACAAGGGCGCACACGCACACATACACATATACACACACAAATGTGCATACATACATGCACACACACACAGATCGTATGTAATTATTATTCATTATAACTTGAGAAATAACAATGTTAGTCAGTCAATGAAGTGCACAGAACAATGCAGTACAATTGACTGACATAAGTGAAGGCATCAGAAAGTTGTTTCCAAGCCTGAACCTTAAACTGAGAGAGCAGGAGCGAAGCGGAAGGCTGTTTTAAACTCAGTGTTTACTGCTGTATGTATAAAGCTGCATGAATAAAACATGTGTCCCACACACAAGCGTGACTATCTGAGGGGAGCACTTTTAGACGCATGTCGCTCAAAGCAAGCCTCGCCCAGACCGTCGTCCTGAGTAACGGCCTCATGGATCGTACGTACGGTCACCTAATGAGACTGCGGACTGCTGAGCGAGCCCAACTACAAGGTCCGGAGTTTCTCGTATCACGTAGAGAGGGCCGTCCCAAAAGCAACGCGCCTGAAGGTTCTGTCTCCAAGAAGCGAACGAACTAGGGGAGCAGTCAGTACTGATCTAAGCAGAAGGCAGTACAGTGTGCTTGAACCAGACGACGTCATACCATCCTCTGTCTAAACGTGAGCTTTCCTCGCCGCCCTTAACCACGAGTAAAAAGCCCGTGCACAGTGGCAGGGAACTAACACCACCTCACTAACCTTTAGGAGTGCGATGGCCACAAACAGGTGTGCGGGAAAGGGGCGGACAGGAGAACCTCTGCTCTCCAACCCTGAGGAGGGGAAGGGGTTCGCTCCAGATGAGCAGGAGACTACAACTGAAGGAAGGAGGGGTGCACGCTTCTCTCCGAGGAAGAGCCTATAGTTTACCAAACATCAGCTCCCCACTGCTGAGGAACTTCAAGGGTGCAGCACCGGGAGGCCGGAGAGGAGGAAAGAAGATGGAGAAAAATCAGGAAAAAGCGCGTACTGCCCTTCCGCCGCTTGCCCTGACAATTCTACTCTCTGCTGGGTACTGGCCCTGTCTAAAGACGAGGGAGCGGGCATGTGCACGTGGACGTGGTCGAGAGCAGTGGGTGGGAGCCTGGAGCTTTCCATGGGAACGGTCTGTCAGCATCTGCGCTGCCACAGCACAAACGTCCTCACCGGACAAGGCGT